TGTTCAGCATCTTAGCTGTAGAGGGCAGTGTCACTGGCCCTCATATGTGGGATCCGAACCGGGGCCCTCTGGCATCCCAAGCGAGTTCTTAACCATTGCGCCACTCGGCCGGCCCACACTTTTTATTATTTTAAGAGAGAATATTAGTTATTCTATTTTTATAAGGAAGTCACCTCATTGAAGTGTGAGAGAGAGAGGGAGGGAGAGAGTAGTGGGAGATGGTCCACAGGCAGGTGGACCTGCTTGGAAGAGCCTTAGCAGGCCTCATTCTAGCCATGTCATGACCTTGTAGTTTGAATTTGTACAAGGTCCTCATCCTTTCATGGCCTTGTATTCTTTATCTGTATGAGAAGTTTGGACAAAATGTTCTGTAAGAGTTCTGTCATTCATGAGTTTTCAAACTGCATTGATAAATGCTAATTATAGATACAAATAGTATCCTTCATTACATATAACTATAAAAAACGAAATATATACATATAACTACATAATTGTTTGGAACTCTGTAAGCATTATTTGGGATTACAAGAAGGGAGGAGTATAGGGTTATTTTCTCTGAAATTAAGTTTATAGAAATTTCGAAAGGAGGCTGTGTTAATTTAGAAACTTGCAAATGTATTGTGATAAGGGTCATCACAGCCAAAGTGGTATTTGTGTGAAGGATCCTGGGGTGCTGGTTTCTAGCAATTGCCTGCCTTCAATCATGTCCAGCTGTGGGCTCTGGTCCGAATCAGGGTACTCTGGTGGGCACAGAGCCCCAGGGGCCCTGGGGCTTTGGGAAGAGCACAAGTCTGGGATGTAGCCCTCCCCTCTCTGCTAAGTAGGACAAGGACTTTGTCCTGCCTGTCACTCGGGGTATGAGTCCTTGCTAGGCGAGAACCTGGCTGCATGCCACTGTCTCTGATGCACTCTGAATCCAGATCATTCCCTCGCTGTCGGTGTCCTAGCATCTCTAGTTCAACTGTGAGGACACATTTTAGCCTCATGCACCCACTAATTTGTCCCCTCTCCTTCAGAAGCAGAGTGGCTTTGGCCGTGGTGCAAACCGACCCAGGAACCAGATGAGCAGAGACATCTGCGTCCATACCTGGCCTTGCTCCTACTATTTAGAACTTGACAAGCGATGGGTTCCTGGAAAACTTGCATTAACTTCTCTCTCACTAAAATTTATGACTGATAAAACTGGAGATGCTCTTGTCAACTTTCCCCTTTCTAGTATAATTGAGATCAAGAAAGAGGCTTCTCATTTTATCTTCAGTTCTCTCACCATCCTGGAAAAGGACCACATCAAGCACTGGTTCAGTTCCTTGCAGCCTTGTCGGAATGTCGTCTTCCACATCATTGAGCATTTCTGGAGAGAGTTGCTGCTGTCTCAGCCGGGAGCTGCCGTGGAGGCGTCACCCTCCCCCGTGACCAAGGGAAAGGAGCTAACTGGGCTGATGGCCTGTTCCCAGAAGCGTCTGGAAGATGCAGCCAGAGTCCTGCACCACCAGGGCGAGCAGCTGGACAGCATCGCGAGCGGCCTGGACAAGATGGAGTCTGACCTGGACGTGGCTGACAGGTAGAGAAAACTGCTGCAGCGTTCTGCTAACCCTCGGGTGGCCAGGGTGTCTTCCACCGCTCCGTATTTAATACACACCCCGCATTCTGAATACATGGGTATGCCTGTTGGACAGTTACGCTGGGCTGGCTTCTGGGCATGCACACAGTAAGGGCTGGTGTTCGTCAAGGGCGCACTGTTGCTAGGTACCATTGAAATATTCAGAGGGGTCAGCTCATTTAATCACCAGGCAAGCCAAGAAGAACATGTTGTTCTTGACTTCATTTAACCAATGGGGAAACTGAGGCTGAGAGGCTGGGGGATTTGATCAAGGTCACACACGCTAAGTTTGTTAACATAGTTTATTATTTTGCATAGTTGAAGACCAGCCAGGTTTGGGCTGAAGTGTTCTGGCTCCAGAAGCTGCCACCTGAGCTTCTGTACCAGCCATTCTTAAACCTTCAGTCTTGGGCCCCTCCACTCTTAAAAATTGAGGGCCCCGAATTGCTTTTATTTATGTGGGCTATGTGTGCCAGTATTTACCATGTCTTGTTTTAAACTAAGAAATTAAAAAGTTACTCATTTTAAAAAGTATGACAATAAATCCATGACTTAGTAACGTAAATAACTTTGCTTTATGAAAAACAACTTTTATAAAGCAAAACATGTTTAGTGAAAAGAGTGGCACTGTTTGAGACTTTGCATTTCACTTTAAAGTAAGGCTTAATAGAAGACAGTGGATTCTCGTACCTGCTTCCGCAGTGAATCCGCTGTGCTGTCCTGTGTCATGTGGCCTCTGGAAACCCCACTGTATAGTCATGATAGGATGAGAGTGGCAAAGCCACATAGTGTCGCGGTGCTGTTAGCAGTAATTTCTACCTGCACACTTTGTGAAGCGCTGCTCTGGCACCAAGACATGCATAGTCCATCAAGGGTCTTGGAGTCTAGAAGGAATAGCCTGTCCCCCACATGTAGCAGGGCTGCTGGGAGCTCAGGACAAGGAGGCAGCCTTTTGGTGACGGGCCCTGAATGCAGCCTGCATCTCTCAGACCAGTGCTGTGTGGGTGGCGTTGGTGGGAACCCTTGGTCCTGAGGGTCCCCAGTTGCATTCACCACCTGCTTCTCCTTCCTGAGTACATGCATGAAGGGTGCCCTGCTGCCGCTGCAGGGACAGAGCCCCAGATCTCACCCTCAAGAGGGGTGCTTGTGGCGTATGACATGAAGGCACCAGACCTTTGTCAGTTTCCCTCTTACGGACACAGACCGTTTTGTACCTTCCTTGCAGTTGAGGGCTCTTGTGACTGAGTGGTGGGCAGAGTGATGCAGGCCTGATCCCTCCCTGTCACCTGCTGGCTGGTGCAGAAAATCCTCACAGGGGCTCTAAAGCCCAAGGGCAAAGCACAGGGACACCATCTGAATGGAGTTGGGCCCCCAAGTGGCATCCGTGAGCGATGGCGAGCCCTGGCTCCATCCCTCAAATGGACTGGGACATGAACAAGAAAAGAACCTCTCCTGGGCTAGGCTGTTAAGATTTTGGGGTTGTTTGTCATGGCAGTCAGCCCTCACAGACTAACGCAACATTTCTGCAGAAGGAGGCAGCTGTCTGAGGACCGCATTGCACATGTAACAGAGAGTCCACTGCGCTGGCGTGGAAGAATGCACACCCCAGTCATGGAGATCTAGCTTTTAGTGATCAAATTAGTCAAGATTAAAACTAGGAGTCCACAGTACCAACCTGTGGATAGTGAGACACATTTCCATACATGGCTTATTAGGAATGTCGGTCGGTATAATCCTTTTGGAGAACAACCTGGCGATTTGTAAATTTTCTTTTGACAAAAGACATTGAAAAGACAAACCTGAGACTGGGAAAAAATATCTGTGATACCCAGAGTCCCAACAAAGGGTTAATGTCCAGCTAGTCAAAAAAGTTCTATGACAAAGTGAGAAAAAGACAATTCAATATAAAAATGGCAAAGGCTGTTGATTGGAGTTTAGGTTAAGCTGCTGTAACAGACATTCAAAAATACTCTGTGTGTGTGTGTGTGTGTGTGTGTGTGTGTGTCCGTGTGTCCGTCCATCCCTCTCCACCCCCTATCCCCACCCCCAGGCAGGTAGAAAACTCTACTCTGGGTTGTCACCATCACCAGGCCCTGTTACCACGTGGCTGCAGCAGGAGCTGCAGGTGCCACACTCACTCTCCCAGGGAGGCCAGGGCCCAGCTGCATCTTTAAGATGACCCCAAAGTTGCACATAGGCCCTGCTCACACCCTGCTGGCAGGATGTAGTCACAGTGCCCCACCCAGGAGCCCAAGGAGGCTGGATGGTCCTGGGAGATGACCCCGTGTTCCATTGCGAAAGAAAGGAGAGAGTGACCTTTAGCAGCTGTCTGTGTCTCCCAGAAGAGAAATGCCAGACACCAGTGGCCCTCGGGAGGGATCCAGCAGCCTGGTAATTAGGGAGGCACATTGAAGAACTTGTGCAGAATGTGGGGTGATGAGACCCAGCAGAGCCAGACTGCACAGACCCCATGGCCTAGTCCTTCCACTGTCAGGTGTGTGTCCCTGTGGAGCTCGGGCACAAGTGCACAGGATGTGTGGACACGAGCCTCCATCAGGGTTGTGGACCACAGTGCTCCGCTGTAGTCAGTTGCTTCTCAGGGTGGTGGGCACTTCAGCTCTATTTCAGTCACAAAATGCATTAATTCTTTCATGCTAACTGCTGTAGAGATCTGCATGTACACTTGGATAAATCCCAAAGCAATGCTAAAAAAAACAAAAGCAAGTTGCAAATAGCTATGTACAGCAGGATGCCATTTCTAAGAGGTTTTTAATGTGTAAAAAATGTGCTATAGGAAAACTGGAGAGAATGGAACTATTAACAGGAGACCTGACCAGGAAAGGTGTGGCCCCGGGCTCCTGGAAGGCTGTGCGCCTGGGTGTCCAGAGCCCTCAGTGCTCTCATTTCTCCCGCACATCTTGGGAAAGGTCTGGCATTATTTCATTGATAATTTCTTCCCCTCAGTTTTAAAATGTGTTCCTTTTGGTTATCTGACTTCCTGGGCTGATCTTCTAACAGCATTCTCATTTTCCTCTTTCCTTGTCCTTTTGTTTTATTTTACATTTTGTATTTTATCACCTTACCCTTCTATTGTTGTTCTCATATTTTGAATTTCCAAGAATTATTTTTTGTTCCCCAAACGTTCTTGCTGCTGCTTTGGGACGTCCTGTGCTTTCAGGAGGTTATGGGCAGTCTCCTGGTTGATTGTGGAGAATCCTTTCTTCTCCCCTCTCAGCACAGTGCCCCCACCCCCACAGCACAGACCCCCTCCAGTGGGCTCCCTCTCGAGCTGCTTCTGGGAGAGGTGGGGTCCCCACAGCACAGGGGTGGATCAGGTTGGGGGCCCTCACTTGCTCTACTGTGTCTGGCCCAACCCCACCCCTGCTTTCAGAGATTCCTGGCACCACCCGTTTTTCCAGTTGGGGTTCTGCAGTGCAGCCTGCCACATCTCAGTGGCTCCAGGGCTGCCTTACAGTTTACTTTCTTGGATTTGCTAAGTCTGCTCTTGAGCTTCCAAAATGATGCTGCTGTCTTTTCTCTTTGCCCTTGGGGAAAAAATGTTTTCAATTTTCCATCTGTGATATTGTGATTTATAGTATGAAATATGTATTTGGTCTTCATTCCTGGTTCCTGGAACAGAGCTCCTAAAACCCTTGGAATTTCCTGTGATGAGAGCCATAAAGGTGTCTTTTGTTATGTTAATGAAGTGATTGTGGGACGCCCCTAAGGATGGGGGCTGGTCTGCAGGGGAACCAACCAGTGATTAGAGGGTAGAACTTTCAGTCCCACCCCCTGACCTGGTAAGAGGAGAAGGGCTGGAGGTTGAACCAATCAGTAATGGCCAGTGATGTAATCAGTCATGCCTGTGTAATGAAGCTTCCATAAAAACCCAAAAGGATGGGGGTTTGGAGAGCTTTCGGGTTGGTGAACACGTGGAGATGCAGGGAGAGTGGTGGGCTCAGGGAGGGCATAGAAGCCCCTCGCCCCTTCCACCTACTTCGCCCTGGTGCATCTCTTCTATCTGGCTGTTCCTGGGTTATATTCTTTATAATGAACCGGTGTTCTAGTAAGTGACATGTTTCTCTGAGTTCTGTGAGCTGCTCTAGCAAATTAATGGAACCCAAAGAGGGGGCTATGGGAACCTTTTATTTATAGCCGGCCAGTCAGAAGCACAGGTGACATCTGGACTTGGAATTGGAGTCTGAACGGGATGGGAGTGGGGTCTTGTGGGGTTGAGGCCTTAACCTGTGGGGTCTGATGCTGTCTCCAGGTAGGCAGTGTCAAAATTGAGTTATTAATAGTTTAGAGGTGGGGAAAAAACCACACCTTAGAATTGGTGTCAGAATCAGAACATCTTTAACCAGGCCTCTCTGATCATTTGCATAAAGGCATATCCTTGAATGTCCTTTTTGAGCACACCCAGCTGAAGTTTATCGAAAATCCTGTTTTGAATTTCTATCATTATTTTTTTTTTAATTGTTTTGAGATGTGTACTTTCTAAGCTTTGTCATTATTGGGAGGACACCCAAAGCAGCAGATGCAGTGGGTAGAATGCTTAATCCCCTCCAACACTCTTGGTGGTGGCAGCCCCTGCCACACCGCTCTAAACCTAGACTCAGGGTGGTGCTTGCATCTGTATTTGTGTGGTTTGCTGGGCTAAGGTCAGGCCTTCTCCTTACTAAGCGAGAGGAGTCTCCCTCAGTCAGACAATATCATTTGGGACCTGGTGGTGCCAGGCACTGTTCTAGTAACTGGGAGACAGCAGATCCCTCTGCAGATCCCTGGTTCCCTTCTGTATTTGTCAGAGTTCTCCAGAGAAACAGAACCAACAGGAGTGTTTATTGCACCTGTAGAGGGAAACTTACTTTAAGGACTTGGCTTACATGATTGTGGGGCTGGCAAGTCTAAAATCTGCAGGACAGGCCAGCAGCCTGGAGGCTCGGCTTGAGCCGGCGTCACAG